TTTATGAAGAGACAATGTCAATGAACTGACCTTTAATGGCATTTCTTTTTATTTTTATGGGGTCATGTTTATAAACACGTTTTATGCCAAAAACTCATGAAATTGAATAAATTCAATCAAATATCAATACAGTGCCTAAAACCCATCACTGGATAGGCCTAGAATAAAATGTGAAATCCGGGGTTTTGAAATAAAATATAAATGAAGATAAACATAAAAGAAAAAGAAGGGCATTTCTGTCAAATTCTGTAACATTTTCTCACAAACCCTGGTTAATTTCTGACACTGTAATGCACTATTCTATGCTGTATTAATATTTAACAATACATATGTCACTGTCTTTCTCTTTTTGTGTCAAAGGTAATGTATGTGTTGATACCGGAGCACAGTACATCCATGGGGCGTCAGAAAAAAACCCAGTCTACTGTCTACTAAAAAAGTCTGGTCATCTCAACCAGATCCCTGAGATGGGCAAAGAAACATTTTACAGTAACAAGGGACACAAAGTAGATGCAAACTTCGCCAGATGTGCATATGAAGCTGGAGAGGAAATCATTCGATACCGTGGTTCCAACACGGGAAGGAGTTTAGGTGAACACTATGCAGAAAAAACCCAGAGTGTGATTGACAGCTTGCAAGACGATGACGAGAAACCAAGAATGCAGAGTGTTTTTGCTTTGGTCGGAAAAGACATGCTGATTGATGTTGGAGCTTCAGACCTCCACAGGATCTCTCTTGACTCCTGGCAGTATTATATCAACATGGGTGACAGTCTCAATGTTGCAGGGTATGATGGGTTGAGAAGATGATCTACATTCATTTGCAATTATTGCTCACTAAATGATTCATTTAGTGTTAAATGTTGTGTATGGATGTCAGTTCAATGTTTCAGCTTGTGGATATGCTGCTGTAGGACTTCCCTAAAGATCGTTTGCTGCTGAAAAGAGAAGTTAGTAAGATCAAATGGGATGGATCCTTTTCTGTTGCCCCTCCTCATAATGAACCTCTGCCTACTCACACTGAATCTGCTTCTCAAGAAAAAGCTCGCCAGTACCCAGTTTGCGTTATCTGTGAGAATGGAGAAGAGATTCTAGCTGATCATGTAATTGTGACCATTTCATTAGGTATGTGTTGATAAGGACTGAGTATTATGAGGATGATGCTGTCTGAAGTGAGCACATTTATATATGTAAGAGATACATTTTGTCTTTGCAAATTGAGAGCTTTGTCTGAATGTGTGTATGTTTTGAAGGGTGTCTAAAAGCACAAGCATCCAGCCTATTCATCCCCAGTCTCCCAACCGAAAAAATGGAGGTCATCGATAAGCTGTGCTTTGGCAATATTGCCAAGATCTTTCTGGAGTACAAAGAGGCATTCTGGGAAAATGATGTTGGTTCTATCAGCCTCATTTATGAGGATGACACCCCTGTCTCAGTATCCACCAATAAAATGCAGTGGCTCAAGAACGTGCAGTCCTTTTCTGTCCTGAGACCCAAAGAAAGGTTAATGTTGTATCAAATGACAGTGAAATTTTCAGTCATTTTAAATATATGTTAAATTTATTATTTTACATTTGCATGTATAGATGCTGTATGAGAAATCTGGATATATACAATTACTCTTAAACACCACTGACTATAATTAATAGTAAAATGTAGGAAAATCAGCCAAAACCCGTGCTTCAAAGATTCAAAATAATAATGATAATAATAATTTGTAGTAGTAGTAGTAGTACTAACACTATTATTATGACTGTTTATGGTGCAAAAAGCTGTAGTAACATTATTCTCTCTTTTCTAGGTTTGGCAATATCTTAATTGGTTGGTGTCCAGCAGACATAGCTGACCTGGTTGAAACCATGACAGATGATGAGCTCTCAACTGCGATCACTGATCATCTCAAAATGTTCTTTGGTAAAGAATCCTCTTTTATTCATTGTGAGTGTTTGCTAATGTGCCAGTTAAGACTTTAAGGTTTTTACAAGTTGTAAAAAATGTGTTGGTGAAAAGTTTTTTTACAAGTATCTTGTATTTTTAATATTTTCTATACTCCCAAGGACGTTCAAACATTCCTCAGCCGAAATCCATACTCTGCACTAAGTGGCGCAGCAGCAAGTTCATAAAAGGAAGCTACGCTTTCCTTCCTGTTGGTGTTGATGGCCAAGTTATGGACACATTGGCCCAACCACTAGTGGGCAGCCGGCATCCTCCTGACCAAGTATGTGATTTTCATTTTCTTTTTGCGTATACCATTATTTTGAATTTAACATAAAAATGGAATATTCTTTTTATTTAAATATGTGTTTGGTTTATGGGCTATCAAGCAGAAGGTTTTGATAAAGAATATATGTTTAAAAGACGGTTAGGGTAAGGCCCTCCTTGATTTTTGTGATTTTGTTACTCCATATATTTCAGGATCTTCAGATCCTGTTTGCAGGTGAGGCAACGATGAAGACTCTTTATGGCACAGTGCAAGGAGCTCTACTCTCGGGACACAGGGAGGCAGACAGACTGGCAGCACATTATAAGAAGACTACCTCATTGGACAAACAAGTTTAGAGAGTTCAAATCTGTTCATAATCTAAAATTTATTCTGTGGCTGATGGTGTCCAATAACAGGGCAGAGAAAAAAAGTTTTCGACTGAGGATGTGATCACAACAAGCTTTCCCCCATGAGGCTGCTCTATGTAAAATAAAATAATTTAAACTTTTATTTGCAGACAAAACTGTTTTAATTAAGAAAAAAGACTGATTTTACATTTTTGCTGTTGTGTATTGTACCTTTTTATATCGTATACTATGTATTTTGTATATTTTTATGACGAGCTGAACATATGATCAGAATTTCACACTGTATTTTTAAATAAAATATTGCATGCTAAATTGTGGTTTGATTATTAAAATTGTAAGCAGCTGGTTTACATAAATATATTTTATTTAGAGAAAAAAATAACAGCTGCTTTTTCTTCACAAAACAAAAATCAAACAGAACAGACAGCGGAACTATTGGAAGTTGCAGCACAAGTTTCCAGGGGGAGCGTTCTATGCTGCTACAGCTCCATGCCGTTTGTTGATGTGACCTTCACCATTCTGAAGTGTTCTGCTATTATCTTCTTACACTTATGAATATATTTACTACGTAGCCGTTTCCAGTGTTGCAGATTTTATGGTCATGGCTTTAAATACAGTTGGCCAGCCTTGCAAGAGTATATTTAGGTAAGTAGTGAACCGATAGCACATTGAGTTCTCTCATCTCTGATATAGTGTGGTAGTCAATGTGTTTTATTTTTTAAAGTTGTTTGTTAGTTTTAAACGAAGCCAGAGTGACTCATTTTACCCCTTTAACATATTTTTTGTTCCCATTCAAAATTTATAAGACCTGCTCATGAAAGGATTTTGGTTTCTTAACTATTTCCTTAATGACAAATGATCTGACTTTGCACTAAATTATTGAGGTGCTGAAGCTACAGTGATTGCATTATTTTTCGGTTATACTGCAGCTAACATAAACATCATCAGTGATGCTCAGAAATGTTTACATTTGTAGTGTCCTTTTATTGTTTTGAACAGGTGTCTTCAGGCTGTTGTCACCCACAGGTGCTTGCAGGCCACATCCACATTTCACACTACAGTCTTTCAGTCAGACTCCAACAGAACCTGTGTGGTCCGCTTTGGGAGGCAGAAGTATGAGAGGATGTATCCGGTTCTGTTGGTGAGACCTGATGGATCCACCATCAACATCAGATATAAAGAGCCCAGAAGAATAATGAAGGTTAGTGGTTTATATTCCAGTTTCCAAGCTTTTTTGTTAAAGGTACACACTTCACCCAAAAAGGACAATTCTGCTGTTATTCACTCAATATCATGTTGGTGGTGTTTTTTTATGTGGTAGACAAAAGGATAATTTTTTTTTGAAGAACTGTTATATAATGGTAGTTCAAAATGTCATCAAGCTTTAAAAAAAGGTCCTTGGGTGAGTGTTTTGAGTCAGTTATCAACAGTTTTTACTGTATTTTATTTTTCCTCCCAGATGCCCGTGGACATCACCACCCTCTCGGAGGAGGAGAAGAAAATCAGGATGCGGAAAAGAGAACCGAAGAGGGCAGCGAAACAGAAATTGGACGATTTTGAGGATGATTTCAAAGTTGATGATTACAGCAAATTCTGGAAGAAGAAATAAATGGACTGACATTCAGAGTATTTATGTTGTCTCACATGTACAATATTGCAATTTTGTTTTATATGTCACCTTGCAATTAAAAAGTCTTCAAATGTTTGTCATTCTCTGATTTTTTAATTTTTTAATTTGGGGCTAAATTGCATCATTTTTTTTTATTATTAAGTATTCTTATATATACTGTACTAGTTACATTTTTTTCACAATTTTTCCAGTTTTTATGGAATTAATTCATTTAGATTATTATGCTAAATAACCGCAGCGAAACAGAAATTGGACGATTTTGAGGATGATTTCAAAGTTGATGATTACAGCAAATTCTGGAAGAAGAAATAAATGGACTGACATTCAGAGTATTTATGTTGTCTCACATGTACAATATTGCAATTTTGTTTTATATGTCACCTTGCAATTAAAAAGTCTTCAAATGTTTGTCATTCTCTGATTTTTTAATTTTTTAATTTGGGGCTAAATTGCATCATTTTTTTTTATTATTAAGTATTCTTATATATACTGTACTAGTTACATTTTTTTCACAATTTTTCCAGTTTTTATGGAATTAATTCATTTAGATTATTATGCTAAATAACCCCACAAAATTATATATTTTGTATATAAAGACATGTAATTGTTTTTCTAGAACGTAAACCGTTAACTTTAAAATATATTAGTTTTCAGCGTCCTCACGTGGCGATGTGTAGCTGTCATATAATGCATAACTCTCAGCATTGCATTCTCAGCATTCTCTGGAACAGGCTGATTAATTATTAATGAATTTAGCACCTGCTTCAAAGTTCACACTTTTGCCTCAGGCATTGTACAAAATGCCAGCTTCACCTGAACTTGTAACGGGCACCCCAGAGCCCGAGGTGCCCAGGAAGTTTACTTTGGAGGCTGCTGATATTGCTGTGGTTGTGATCTACTTTGTGTTTGTGTTGGCAGTTGGAATATGGGTAAGTGAAAGTCTGCAGCCTCTCTGGTAATATTTGCATTGATGTAGAGAATTCTGTATGCCTAATTCTTCATGCAGAGATGGAACTGCTGTGTTTTTGATTTGTAGTCTTCAGTCAGAGCCAACCGGGGAACAGTGGGTGGATACTTCTTGGCCGGACGATCCATGACATGGTGGCCAGTGAGTTTTTGTGTGTCTCATAATAATGAAGCTGGGATGTTTATTTTGTGGATGTCTACAAGGAAGCATCTTGATTTTTAAAGTCCTTGCCTGGAGTTACAACCAGGAAAGCGGAAATAATAAATCAATCCAGTCTCCTAAGTGAATGTATTTCATGGAAACACATTATGAAGTGCATGTGTTTTGTGTTAAATTAAATGAAATCATATACAACAGTTATACACAAATCATATTTACAGAAGATTCATATTTAATGTGAAGACATGTCTCTTTCAGCTTGATTTATCATAGTTTCGTTTAGTTTTGGGAGTGTTTTCTCAGTATGTCTCTCTTGTGTTATATTTCAACAGATTGGAGCTTCTTTGATGTCGAGTAACGTAGGCAGCGGGCTGTTCATTGGATTAGCAGGAACAGGAGCTGCAGGGGGACTCGCAGTCGGGGGATTTGAGTGGAATGTACGGCAGACAAATCAGTCCTCATCCAACAAGCTTTTAGTGTTGTTTCAGTAATTCCTTATTTAATTTGTGAGATTGTTGTTGTCTTAGGCTAATCAAATGTTTGACAGTTACTGTATATTGCATCAAATGCTGAAACAAAACAAGTGTGATGCTCTTTAGGCAGCATGGGTCCTCATTGCCTTGGGCTGGATCTTTGTGCCTGTGTATATTTCTGCTGGAGTAGTCACAATGCCAGAGTATCTGAGGAAGAGGTTCGGGGGTCAGCGCATCCGAATCTACATGAGTGTGCTGTCTCTCATCCTCTACATTTTCACCAAGATATCAGTAAGACTCCTTAGTTGAATAAATGTGAATTAAGTATTATTAAATAATATATAATAATTATTATGTATTTGTTATATATATATTAAATATAACATATTCAATATATTCAATATAACATTTGATTTGTTATATATTTAAAGAAAAATAAAATAACAGTACATTAAAACAAACAGAAACTTTACAAAACTAGAAAAAAATAGGATCTCAATAATTAGAAAAAAGTATACTATGACAAAAAATGAGGGAAAAAAAGGAAAAAGAAAAGAGGACTTTATATTGTTAACTATATATTGTTTTAAATTTACATTTATATTAATGATATTGTAATGATAAAAGAGTGACTAGTATGAATGAAAAAAAAAACGTAAACCATAGCATACAACAATACAGTATGCTATAAAGTGTACTATAACAGTAAACAACAAATAGCAATTTAGCATAGTTGTAATAAAGTGTAATACATGTGTAATAAGTTAATCATAACTGTGTTCTGTCCAGACAGACATTTTTTCAGGGGCTTTATTCATCGAGGTGTCTCTGGGGTGGGACCTGTACGTCTCCACTGTTGTGCTGTTAGCTGTCACTGCACTCTACACTATAGCTGGTAATAAAACAACACATAAGTGACTTACATTTTAGATAACTTGTGCCTAAACGTGATTCTAGTTGAGGTGCTTTAATTGGTGGCTTGTTTTAATGCAGGTGGGCTGACAGCAGTAATCTACACTGATGCCTTACAGACCGTCATCATGGTAATAGGAGCATTTGTCCTCATGTTCATAGGTATAGATCTCTCGCTGATGAAATGTTATACTTTCATTAATTATTCCAGGGTAAGTACAGTGATTCATTTCAATTGAATCTCCCCTGTCAGCATTCGACAAAGTTGGCTGGTATGAGGGTTTGCTGGTTCAGTATGAGAGAGCTGTACCTGCTATCACGGTTCCCAACACCACTTGTCATCTTCCTCGGTCTGACGCCTTTCATATCTTCAGAGATCCAGTGACAGGAGACCTTCCTTGGCCAGGCCTGATTTTTGGACTAACTGTTCTGGCCACATGGGTGTGGTGCACAGACCAGGTGAATTTAAAATACTGTAGATTTTAGCATGATTTAATATTCGGCAGAAGATTTCACAAATGTGTCTCTTTAAGCTTAAAAATTGTTTTACAGCAAGCAATTGCATCTGTTTCATGTCTAAAGGTGATAGTGCAAAGGTCTCTCTCTGCCAAAAACCTGTCTCATGCCAAAGGTGGTTCGGTACTCGGTGGCTACCTCAAGGTCTTCCCTATGTTCTTCATCGTTATGCCAGGAATGATCAGCAGAGCTCTCTACCCAAGTACTACTCAGTCCTTCTTTGCATTTCCCTTAATCTATGGTCTGGATTTAAGAAAGATGTTACCTGAACATTGATTAAACCAATGAAAAGGGGTTTAATGGACTATCCACACCATTAATTTGCATAAATGAAAAATATTTCTTTTGATGGTAAGTAGTGTGATGTTTGTGTATTTTCTAGATGAAGTAGGATGTGTGGATCCTGAGGAGTGTATGAAGATCTGTGGGGCCAGTGTGGGCTGCTCTAACATTGCCTACCCAAAGTTAGTTATGGAGCTCATGCCAGTGGGTATGACAACCTTATGTTTTTATCAGAATAATCGTGTGATTTTTCAATTAGTTGATATTTTCCGTCCTCTAGGATCATTTTAATGACAAGAAAATGCTATCGAAAATTTTAACAAACTAACAATTATTCTAAATAGCATTAATAGTATAAGAATTATATTATAATAAAATATTTAAATGATAATATATATCTATATAATGTAATATATAGATATACATAATAAAATATTTAAATTATAATATATGTCTGTGATAAATTATAATAGATATTATAATTTAAATATTTTGTCTCTATAGTTACCTTTTCTTATTTTTAAGTGAAATGTTCATGTTACTTTTGCCAAAATTTAAAATTTAAGCTTGTTTTCTACACAGATCTTTTACCTTCAGATACAATTTTGATAAGTAGAGTGGCAGTTTGAAAATTATAAAGGGAAAACATATTTCAAAGTACTTTTTAAGTGCCTCATTGAAATTGAGAATATATATATATATATATATATATATGCTTCACTGCTACAACAAAGATTACAGAGCAACAATGATATTCCTCTTGTTCTTGTTATGCTAATACACGTTTTTCTTTCCCTGTAATTGTGTTGTAGGGTTGAGAGGTCTGATGATTGCTGTAATGATGGCAGCACTCATGTCCTCTCTCACCTCAATATTCAACAGTAGCAGCACTCTGTTCACCATGGACATATGGCAACGGATCCGACCCCGGGCCTCTGAGAGAGAGCTCATGGTAGTGGGCAGGTAGTCTGTTAAATGCTTTGTGGAAAAACTTCGGAACACTTTCATTTTGAACATATTTTTCAGAAAATAAACAAGTATCTAAAAAAGCGAATGCTCTCATTATAAGCATATTACAAACCAATTCAACAAAAGTGGAAACAGTCCACCACCAATTCCACCAAGTGGTTTAACCACATCAGAGTGGTTTCGTTGACCTGTTTTGGGGCGATAAAAGATATTTGATATGCAAACTGTCAAATTAAAATTAAAAACAGCTGTCCTTTTCCAAAATATACACTTTTTATTTCACGAAACAATCTGAGTCTCCTGGCTCTTAATTGCTGCTGTTTATTTACATCCACAGGGTGTTCATTTTATTGCTAGTGGCCCTGAGCATTGTGTGGATTCCAGTCATTCAAACAGCCAATAGTGGACAACTGTTTGACTACATTCAGGCCATTACTAGCTACCTGGCACCTCCCATCACCACAGTGTTCATTATGGCCATCTTCTGGGGGCGAGTAAATGAGCAGGTGAATGAATTCACCTTTTCTTGTGCCTGTGCAATAAAGTGAAAGTTAAATGGCCTATAACACTTGATGCAGTTGGTAAAACATTTAAGTTAAGTTTTCTTTTTATCTTGCACAGGGTGCTTTTTGGGGTCTGATGGCGGGACTAGTGGTGGGCACTGTGAGGATGGTAATGGAATTTGTGTACGGCACCCCATCATGTGGAGAAGAAGACCTGCGTCCTGCCCTGCTGAAAGATGTGCACTACCTGTATTTTGCTCTCATCCTGCTTGCACTGACAGCTCTGATCATCACAGCTGTCACCCTCTGCACTGCACCTATTCCAGAGCAACATGTAACTATGAACCGCAATTCAAATACATACACATTTAAATAATTATTTATATCCATTTTTATACAAAACTTACAAAAAGGAGATAAATGCTGCATACCCAATTACCTGGGGACTTTCCATGTACTACACTTAATTTTGACATTTTTTAAAAATTACATATCACATACTAATCAAACGATTTTTTTTTGTTTAATTTGAATGATAATAATTTAAATTTATTTCATTTCAACCATTTCCTCCCCTATAAATTTTCACAAAAAGAAGCTTTAAAGGGTTAGTTCACCCAAAAATGAAAATTAGGCTGTGTTTTACTCACCCCTGAGGCATCCTAGGTGTATATGACTTTCTTCTTTCAGACGAATCCAGTCGGAGTTATATAAAAAATTGTCCTGGCTATTCCAAGCTCTATCATTGCAGTCAGCTGGTTTTGCAGTGCTTCAGTCCAAAAGAAGTTAAATAAAAAGCGCCCATCCATGAAAAAAAGTCACACAGCTCCGGGGGGTGAACAAAGGCCTCCTGTAGCGAATCGATGCGTTTTTGTAAGAAAAAATATACATATTCAAAACGTAATTTTTTACGTCTTCGGTCTTCAGAGTTTTTATATAACTCCGACTGGATTCGTCTGAAAGAAGAAAGTCATATACACCTAGGAAGCCTCGGGGGTGAGTACAACACAGCCTAATTTTCATTTTTGGGTGAACTAACCCTTTAACTCCCCACAGTACCAAAACAACATGTACACTGACTACCTTAACTTTGAAAATTAATTTATAAAGATAATACTTTTTAATTTTTTTGGCATTAAAAACAGCAAAGAAAGCATGCATAATGTATTATTTATTAATGTATTGGTTATACTTTATTGCAATAGTCCACTTTAGACATTCTATTAACTAGTAACTTTGCAACTAACTCTTAATTAATTTGCTACTGTATGTAAACTAACTCTATGGTTAGTATAATAAACTGATATATACTTCCAAAGTTACTTAAAGTCAGTAGAATGTCTGTTGGGGGCCATCAAAATAAAGTATCAGATATTAAGCAGATGGTCTAATACTAATACTCGAATGACTGGTAGTTAACATGTAGTTACAAAGTTATAGTTAGTTGAAGGTCTAAATTAGACTATCAAAATAAAGTATATTTATAAGCACAAAACAATATTTCCAATGATATTGTAGGAGAAACACACTGAATATGAGCTGCTAATATAATGAGCTTATATTACATTTTAGCTCGTTCGTTTAACCTGGTGGACAAGACACTGTAAGGAGAAGCGTGTAGAGCTGGAAGACCCCTGGGCTAGAGGATCTGATCCCAGCACTACAGAGTCAGAGGGGTCAGATGAGGATACTCCTGCATGGTGGAAGCGTGCTGGAATGTGGCTGTGTGGTCTCTCCCATGCGGCTAAACAAGAGATGAGTGAGGAGGAACGGCAGGCTCTGGAAAGGAAACTCACCAGTATTGAAGAAGACCACACCTGGAAGACTGTCTGCAATGTTAATGCCCTCATTTTACTCACTGTCAGTGTTTTTCTCTGGGGGTACTTTGCATGAATGTACTATAAAGTTCTGAATGGCACTTTTCTTGTAAGAAACTCACCAGTACTGATGAAAAACACATCTGGTTGTCTACACTTACATGCTCTCATTTTATTTACTGTAAATGTCTTTTTTTCCCCGCTTAATAAATAAAAATTGTGAATGGCACATCTTTGCTGTTATTTTGATGAGTTGATTTTTATTTGAAAAAGTCAGGTTTTGAATTAGGCTAACCTTTAATTTTAACTCCCCACAGTACCAAAACAACATGTACACTGACTACCTTAACTTTGAAAATTAATTTATAAAGATAATACTTTTTAATTTTTTTGGCATTAAAAACAGCAAAGAAAGCATGCATAATGTATTATTTATTAATGTATTGGTTATACTTTATTGCAATAGTCCACTTTAGACATTCTATTAACTAGTAACTTTGCAACTAACTCTTAATTAATTTGCTACTGTATGTAAACTAACTCTATGGTTAGTATAATAAACTGATATATACTTCCAAAGTTACTTAAAGTCAGTAGAATGTCTGTTGGGGGCCATCAAAATAAAGTATCAGATATTAAGCAGATGGTCTAATACTAATACTCGAATGACTGGTAGTTAACATGTAGTTACAAAGTTATAGTTAGTTGAAGGTCTAAATTAGACTATCAAAATAAAGTATATTTATAAGCACAAAACAATATTTCCAATGATATTGTAGGAGAAACACACTGAATATGAGCTGCTAATATAATGAGCTTATATTACATTTTAGCTCGTTCGTTTAACCTGGTGGACAAGACACTGTAAGGAGAAGCGTGTAGAGCTGGAAGACCCCTGGGCTAGAGGATCTGATCCCAGCACTACAGAGTCAGAGGGGTCAGATGAGGATACTCCTGCATGGTGGAAGCGTGCTGGAATGTGGCTGTGTGGTCTCTCCCATGCGGCTAAACAAGAGATGAGTGAGGAGGAACGGCAGGCTCTGGAAAGGAAACTCACCAGTATTGAAGAAGACCACACCTGGAAGACTGTCTGCAATGTTAATGCCCTCATTTTACTCACTGTCAGTGTTTTTCTCTGGGGGTACTTTGCATGAATGTACTATAAAGTTCTGAATGGCACTTTTCTTGTAAGAAACTCACCAGTACTGATGAAAAACACATCTGGTTGTCTACACTTACATGCTCTCATTTTATTTACTGTAAATGTCTTTTTTTCCCCGCTTAATAAATAAAAATTGTGAATGGCACATCTTTGCTGTTATTTTGATGAGTTGATTTTTATTTGAAAAAGTCAGGTTTTGAATTAGGCTAACCTTTAATTTTAAAAGTTTATTATAAACAGTTCACTGTCACAGTGATAATAACTAAACATATAAACTGTAATAATGCATGCTGTGTCATAATGACAAAGCATAACAGGTAAGAGGCCTCGTAATCGTTCCCACCCAGGGGTGGGGCCTCACCAGGCTGTAAATGACATATATTATGATTTATTATTATTTTATATAATTTTAAGAGTAGGCTATATAACTTATTAAAATGCTAAAAACTTCAGTATTTCTTATTTTAGTTTGTCCCTTCATGTTTTCCTTGTTGAACATGCAGAAGTGAACAGATACTTAAGGTACTATTAGGATTCTTTTGATTCACTTCTTGTTTCTATAAATAAAAAAGCTTGAAAGCCAGTAGCTTTGTTATCATTCTTAAGAAGAGGCAGAGGAAATGTCTCTGTTTACATGGGGTCCTTTGAATATTGTGTTGGACAATAAGGGGGCCTCAGAAAGATTGACCGTGACCTTTGAATCACTCATCCGATCCACGTCGGGCTGATCCTCGCCAGGTTTCCAGCGCAACCCATCCATATTCTTATTGTGGGCGTGAAACTCTCTGCTTTAACCTCCTCTCTACTTGAATGAACTACAAGTGCAAAGTCATACTACACTGTTTAGTGCACTCGAGAGAGAGGGTAACATCGTACCCGAGGGCATTCTACGGTTAATAGTTACATAGACAACACTTGTTTCCAGTCACCGATTTTTACGGAGCAATGGAGCCTCATGTAAACGCGAAGCGGCTTTTTAATCACGCGACAACCCTGAAGCTTCACACGGGGAATTTAGTCAACCGCAGTCGACTTAAGAAGAAATGTCCGTCTTCACCTAGTGAGGAGGTATGTTGTGACATGAGTTTGCAGTGCTAATGGTGGACATTAGTCCATTTCGGCAGCACGGGTACGGCATGTTTTATAGTGTGATATTGCTCGGTGAATGAGTTCAGCCACGGACACTCCATTATTTATGTTAAGTCCGGTTCTTTTTTTAAGCATCGACTCCTTCGGACGGTTCATTCACCAAACCGGTTCACAGAATCATTTGAGATGTCACTGAAGTGTTCCTAGACGTCCGCACGCATCATTTACGAACGCTTAAAAAAAAAAAAAGTTAAATAAGTATGTTTTCAATATAAATTCTGAAACATGGGTTGTTTTAGTTGTATTAACTGGATTTTGTGTACATTTGTTTTGTATTTGGATTCTGTCATGGTTAGCCTAATTATACCTACTTTTCCTCTACATACTGGCATTCCTGTTCGAAAAAAAAAATGGTTCTAAGTTTCTTTTTTATGTTCCAGCATGACAACCCATCTTACCCACCTTACAACCGAAAGCTTTGCGAATCGGTTCGGTCGAATCATTAAGATTGAGTCGGCTCACATAATGATTCCGGGGCTAAAAGATATGATCCGCCTGCTTCCATGTTAATGACGTCAATTACCAGCTTGCCTCGTGCTGCTCATGACATGCCACTGTATGCAAAATGTGGTATGAGAAATTGCAGTGCATCGCACTGTTGTTGCATTTACGTTCAAATGACCCGGGGCCTCATTTATAACCGTTGCGTACGCACAAAACCTGCCCTGAAAGAGGCGTACGCCACTTCCTACGCAAAAGGTGGGATTTATAAAAAACAAACTTGACGGGAAAATTTGCGCACCTGCACGCAAACTCTGATCCATGCGTACGGACTTTTTTTTTTTCCTGGAGAGAGAAAAGTAATGAAGTAAACAACGATTTTAAACTGTTTTAATTTCATCATATACATTTACATTAAATATTTCACTTTCATTAATGGAGATAAGCACTGAAATTACATAAAGTCATTACGCAGAAGTTAAACCAAAATTATATGAATTTAGACTATTTGTAGTGGGTATGTGGATACGCTTGATTACTTTTCCTGTGGTATGTTATGTTTTAATGAAAGCGAGGAGTGCTATAGGGGCACAATAATTTATCTTTAAAGTAAACTGCACATCTCATGTTATGAGAAAATATTTTTAACGAGAACAATGATCAATGATGCGCACTTCGATATTATGGCGGACATAATATGGCGGAAAATATGATTTTTAGCAATAAAAATTTATGTGTATGGCACAAATGCCATTTATAGTCCGTATCTCATATTTCCTTAAAGTCCACATGAAATCAAAATTGACTTTATTTAATTTACTAGCGCACATTGCTAGTCTTGATGTGAACAATTAATCCGTGCAAGTTAATCCGCTGAATTTTTTTGTTTTTGTTTTCGTGATCTTTAATCAAAATCTGAACATTTACTTCCCCTCTGGAATGGCATTCCTTTTCTGATGACGTCAGTTTGACGGCTTGGGCAGAATATCCTTAAAGGGGTCATATGATGCGATTTAAATGTTTCCTTTCTCTTTGGAGTGTAACAAGCTCTTGGTGCATAAAGAAGATCTGTAAAGTTGCAAAGACTAAAGTCTCAAATCCAAAGAGATATTCGTTATAAAAGTTAAGAGTCAGCCACACCTACCTAAAACGGCTCGTTCTAACACGCCCCCACATATCTAGGTCGCTATGTGGGAAGATTTACATAACGCCGCCCAAATGTTCACGCAAAGAAACAAGGCGTAACTTTTATTCTCTCATTACACCAAATACACAAAATACTGTTCTTTTTAGCAACATCATATGACCCCTTTAAACACACCCCTCCAACCGTTGAGAGACAGAGAGGAGGAGCACAAAAATAAAACCATGCCCTCTATTCAATATTCCGTTTCAGCTGGAAATACGTCACTACACTGAAATAAAGTCGGCAGTAACTTCCGGTCCACGTGGACTTTAATGTCTTGTACCTTTGATAGTGTTAAACATGGTGTCACGTGGATGGGAATATGCATATAAATTATATGCAGATGAGGTTATGCATAGTAAAACTAGGCGTTGTAAGCACCATATATGGTGATTTCGGGGAGGAGTTGGGGTGGAGATGCACATACTTCCCCTGACTGGGATTTATAAAGGGATTTTTGCGCAGGTTCTGGCATACGCATGGTTTTATAAATCTGAAAACGTTTGTGCGTACGCCAAATCTAGCTTTTGTGCGTACGTACACTTTTAGGATAAAATCTACGGAAAGTTTTATACATGAGGCCCCTGGTCTCTTCCGCTAGTTTCATTCTAGGATGAAATCTACGGAGAGTTTTATAAATGAGACCCCAGGGCTTTGTTTTGCCATCCTTAGTTGTAGCTGTGCATACAAGCAGTGCTTCTGCCTAGTAACACTCACTAGACCTGTAACAGAAGATGTACATAATTAAATGTGACCTGACCTCTGACATGCTGGAATGAAGAATGATGCAATGTCATGCTGATGTCTTATAATCTCAACAGATGTCTGACAAATGACTGCATTTTCTATAGCTACTGGCTAAAACCTCTCTGACATCCATCATAAAACCGTGGCTTATTGTTCAAGCCCACACAAGTGTATTAGTAATGTGTAAACATGTATATGTGAAGATTGTAGATGGTATTGCAAGATTATACCTGGAATGTTAATGATGTCTTGATGTCTTAAATCTTTTTGCTCAACAGTCTATAACAGGGTGTTTCTACAGTACACTAGGTATATAAAATGTTTAATTTTATTTCATGTTTATACACACAAACACACTGCCATTCAAAAAGTTTGGGATCAGTAAGACTTGAAAGAAATCTCTCATGCTCACCAAGGCTGCATTTATTTGATCAAAAATACAGAACAAAACTGTAATATTGCAAAATATTATTACAATTTAAAATAAATGTTTTCCATTTTAATAAAATAATTTATTCTAAATTATTAGTTAATAATTTATTCTTGTGATGCAAAGCTTTTTTCTTTTTTTTTTTGGAACCTGTGTTGGAACCTGTTAACCTATTTACTATTATACTATTATTAATTTCATAAATTATTTCTTAAACAAAAAGAAAGAAAAATTACTTACCCCGAACTTTTGAACGGTAGTGTATATTGTTACAAAAGATTTCTATTTTGAATAAATGCTGTTCTTTTATTAGAATTTCTACACATAATATATAATCTTAGATGTGATATATAATCTTAGAATATATGTTAAAAAATACATAATTAAATTATGCATTTTTTTTTTTCTTGTGATGCAAAGCTTTTTTCTTTTTTTTTTGGAACCTGTGTTGGAACCTGTATAACCTATTACTATTATACTATTATTAATTTCATAAATTATTTCTTAAACAAAAAGAAAGAAAAATTACTTACCCCGAACTTTTGAACGGTAGTGTATATTGTTACAAAAGATTTCTATTTTGAATAAATGCTGTTCTTTTATTAGAATTTCTACACATAATATATAATCTTAGATGTGATATATAATCTTAGAATATATGTTAAAAAATACATAATTAAATTATGCATTTTTTTTTTTTAAATAGACTTTTCTAAAAGCCTACAGGGGCAAAAGCCAAAAGTGTCTATGAATATAAATATTGAGATATGTTTTGGAAAGGCTGCCAAGATGTTGTATTTATGTTTCATAATTTGAATGTTTTTCAATGTTTTCTGAATCCACAGCTACAAGACTGCATCCAAGGCACACTGAGCGAGTGGTTTGCCACAATGCCGTCATCTCTTGACTCTGTAAGACCTTGCATGACACTCATTACGAAAGTGAAAAAGGAAACCTTGAGAACTTATAAACAAACCATTTTAAGCTAAACAAATGTCATCTTTGACATGTTAAAGATTTCAGTTGCATGAAGTAATCAGACCCACTGAACATAAACAGTTGAGCACGCTGTGGATTGTGGGAAAGCAAACAGTCTGTCTCTTTTGCACCATTAAAGCATATATAGGCAGTGGGATGAAAAGACAGTTGTTATGGTGATTGTTCATGGCATGGGGCCACTGTGCCTCTGCTCTGGCTCTTTCTGCCATTGTCAGCGAATCTGCCTGAGAGCTCAGCAAGTAGAGAGTAAAGGTCTTAGCACACAAAAGCTGAGGCTTATTGATGCATTCCTTTCATGCAGTCCATTAACAAGGTGTCTAATGTTTTCACATGCAAAGGAAAGTGAGTTCCATAGACACAAGATTGCCAAAAAATGATGCAACTATAATGCATAATCCAGTAAGTGACTGGATACTTTCCATGATAGCATGGTTTTGCAATTACCTTTGTTTTTCTTCTCAGGAGCTTCCCAGCATTCTGGACTGCACTATTCCAGAAAACACAGAGGCCATCACCCCAGAGGAGAGAGAGGAGCTGAAAGTGTCTGGTGAAGATTACTGATCCTTAATGCATTAAAGAATGCTGTTGCAGTGCATGTTATTACATATGTTTAAATGTCTTTACAGTCAAGCTTTTTCTCACTGAGTCGGACCGTTCATCCATCAGAAGTGCGGTGGACATGGGTAAGTTCTGTTTAATGTGATGCTGTATATATGAATATTATTATGTTTAATTAGGTAAAACTGTTTATGTAGATTTACCCTAATCTAACTGAATTGAGCATACTAAGAGCATATTTGAGATGTTTAAGGCTCCATGTAATTAGAGTAAATATGAAAATTAGTACTGAAAGGGTTCACATTATATATACAGCGGGTAAAATAAGTATTGAACACGTCACCATTTTTCCCAGTAAATATATTTCTAAAGGTGCTGTTGACATGAAATTTTCACCAGATGTCGGTAACAACCCAAGTAACCCATACATACAAAGAAATCAATACAAATAAATTCAGAAATGTAAGTTCTGTGTAATAAAATGGAATGACACAGGGAAAAAGTATTGAACCACTGAAATGTATTTAATACTTTGTACAAAAGCCTTTGTTGGTAATGACAGCTTCAAGACGCCTCCTGTATGGAGAAACTGTCCATGCATTGCTCAGGTGTGATTTTGGCCCATTCTTCCACAGAGTCTTCAAATCTTGAAGGTTCTGTGGGCCTCTTCTATGAACTCTGATCTTCAGTTCTTATTTTCTATTGGATTCAAGTCAGGTGATTGGCTGGGCCATTCTAGCAGCTTTACTTTCTTTCTCTGAAACCAATTGAGAGTTTCCTTGGCTGGGTTTTGGATCATTTGTCTCGCTGAAATGTCCACCCTTGTTTCATCTTCATCATCCTGGTACTGTAGGTGTTGGGACTGAACCAACTAATATTAATTTCCACTGACTAGGGGCAGGATTGCTTTCTAATTACTGATAGATTTCAGCTGGTGTCTTGGCTTTCCATGCCTTTTTGCACCTCCCTTTCTTCATGTTCAATACTTTTTCCCTGCGTCATTCCATTTTATTACACAGAACTTACTTGTTTTGTTTTCTTTGTGTGTATGGATTACTTGGGTTGTTACTGACATCTGGTGAAAATTTCATGTCAACAGCACCTTTAGAAATACATTTACTGAGAAAAATGGTGACATGTTCAATACTTATTTTACCCGCTGTATATATATATATTTTTTTTCCCTGAGGTCCTCTTATTATCATGGTCATTTTTTTGAATGATCCCTCTCTGACCCTTAATTATGACCCATAATTAATTAAAATTATATTTTTTTCACCTAATAAATGCCCCCTTAGAATAAGAAATCAGCAACGTCCTCATGATATGACTAATTTGTGAAGATTAGAAATAAAATTCATACAAAAATGTTCAATAATGACCATCATTTTTAACAAGTGGCATCAAATATACCTAAGTAGAAGTATTTATTTTTTTTATCAAATCAGTTTGTCAATATACTTTCAAATCACTTAGTCAATATACAGTGGGTACGGAAAGTATTCAGACCCCCTTAAATTTTTCACTCTTTGTTATATTGCAGCCATTTGCTAAAATAATTTAAGTTAATTTTTTTTCCTCATTAATGAAATTTAAGGGGGTCTGAATACTTTCTGTACCCACTGTATACACTGCTTTTTGAAAGAAGTCCCTTCTGCTCACCAAAGCTGCTTTATTTGATCAAAATACATCAAAACTTAAATATTTAAAAAGATTTTTAATACCAAAAATAACTTTTTTTTTATGTAACTTATTTTCAGCATTAATTTTCAGTCTTCAGTGTCGCATGATCCTTCAAAAATCATTCTAATATGCTGATTTGGTGCTCAAGAAACATTGGTTGATATTTTTTGGGAAAACATAATACATTTATTTCAAGATTCTTTGATGAATAGAAAGTTCAAAAGAACTTTTTGTAACAGTGTGAAAGTCTTTATTGTCACTTTTTAGCGATTCAATGCATCCTTGCTGAATATTTTTTTTTCTTTTTACTGAGCCCAAATGTTTGAACGGTAGTGTATGTGAATATTAATTTCAGTTGATTTGACCATAACCCCCTCTCCTCTTCTCTGTGTTGTTCAGCTTGTCTTTCGTTAGGCGTATCTCAGTTGGACTCTGTGATCATTGCTCCACCTCCTCTCCCCGAGGGTGAGGCACAGACGCTGACCCACCTGCAGCCGCTGTGGGAGGAGCTGGAAAGTCTTGTGCAAAGCCAGAAGATCGCTGCCATCGGCACGTCCGACTTGGACAAAACTCTTTTAGAGCAGCTGTATAACTGGGCTCAGGTCTGCTGTGAGTGTGCATTTCTTCTGCACATAACAGAATAATTGATTATTTACAATGTATTTTTGTGCTCTTTCATGCTATGCAGGTAAAGCCAAGTAGTAATCAGGTGAATCTGGCCTCGTGCTGTGTGATGCCTCCAGACCTCACTGCATTTGCTAAAGAGTTCGACATACAATTGCTTACGCACAATGACCCCAAAGGTGTGTATTTTATGCTGAGTCATTGAGCTCGATGACTGCATGCGCGAACTGGTTCTGCAATTTAATTATGAAACTGCATGAGCAACAGCGCAGGAAATCTAATGATGCCAATATTTCTTCTTGCGTCTAGAGCTAATCAGTGCAGCAGGCTTCCAGGAAGCAGTGCAGGGGAGCAGTAAGGACCTGCAGGTGGACGATTGGAGGATGGAGTGGGTCTTACGGTACTCCATCATAGTCAAGAGCAGAGGCATCATAAAAGCAAAAGGCTACATTGTTCATGCTAAAAAGGGCAACAACCTTTAACATGTCCAGTTTGAACAGGGTTTCCTAAAAATTTAGGGAGCTACTACATCATTGATGCATATTTTACAGGTGTTTTTTTTTGTCAACACACTAAAGTGAAAAACTAAAATTCACTCGACACACGTTTTCCTCATGATTTAGAACATTTAGACAGCTATCTGTTCTTGTAGATAAATGCAAAGTGCCTCTCTTTTTCCTGACCTGGCCTGGTTTAATTCTCTGTATTTTTCAAAAGGGTAAAAATTAAATATAAAACAACGGTTGATAGGACATCAGATTAAGATTATTCAAATACCATAAGATTGTTTTGTTAATCATTGCCCCTGTAATTTTTGTGATTTTTTTTTTTCTGTTTTATTTAAACATTTTAACCACTTTTTTTTTTTTTAAAGAGTGGGCCACATAGTTGTATTTTTTACTTTAAATTTTAATGTTACATTTTAAGTTCTGCTAGCATTTTAAGTTTGTATAATTTATTTTGATCGATGCTTTGCTTGGAATGTTCACTAAATGTTTTCTTACCCGTTTTCAACAGACGATTCTATCTCTTTTGCATCCCTTTGTAAACAAAATGCCTTGCTTATCTGATAAAAAGAAATATTCAAATATGTAACTGTATGGGAGGCTGTAAACATGCATGGCATGAACGGCATTAACTTGTTGTATATAAGAACACTGGAAAATTCCACCCTCGAAGGAAAATAATGATTATAGTTCCAGTATCCAACGAATAGTCAGAATATATATTTTTACCGGTGTTATTTATTCATTGTAATGACGATTCCTTTTGGAGCCAATAGAGTTTTTCTTTTATGTACTGTACATGTAATTACTATTTTCCCATATTGTGTTAAACATTTTTAATGTGGTTTATAAACTTCGGAATTGAAAAACGAAACATGGACTGGCATTGGGTTTCTTTCATTTCAGTATTTATATGTTAGATGTAAGCAATATCCTCCTGAGACCTAACGCAAACTGAAGTTTTTTTTTTCCCATTAATGAATGTATGAGTTAATTTGAATAGTGTCTCAAGAAGACAGAAATCCATATTATTTGCAACTCGCCCAACGCTCAAAACTGCTCCGCGATGCTTTCCTGCATCGATTAGTCACGCCTGCGCATCATTGTCCGGAGAACGCGTCTCGCAAGCGGAAGTGCGTCTAATGTCATAGTGCAAGATGGTGGCCACCAGGAGAGGCACACGCGTGGGATCCCCTGTGAAAAATACTAACAATGAAAACTCTGGAGCCACGGTATGTAGGATACTTAAGTAGTTTAGTCTATATATTCTCCGGAAGCGCCAGTGTGTGCTTGTAATTGCAGTGTTGTATGTATCTTCATGCAAAAATGAGTCGCCGCATGTGTCCATACATGCCCGAGCAACTGTGGGAAACTTGTTGACTAACAAATCACGTTCGTATTCAAAAAAAATAATGTCGTCCCTTCGTATTTTTTTGTCGTCAGTTTTGCATTCTTCGACTTGAGAGTTATGTAAACCAGTAAGACAGTCGTAGGCTGCATGTGTAGCTTTGGGCAGCAGATAGGGCAGTATCACCATGTACGATACTCCTGTTATGCACATCTTGCCACCCCCTCCACATATGTATACATAAATGAGAATTATATTAGTTTTCTATAAAGTGACCATATGTTTTGGGTGAATCGTAAGTAATTTCATCCTTTCTGGCAAAGCATGTGGCTAGGCCTGTCGCAATAATCAATATATCGCGCAATATATGTACATGACCTTAATAATTTTTGGTTACGCAATATATCGCTCATTATATTTACTTGAAATTTAATGCCACCATGTTTTTTTTACATTCCACTTGCGCCTGTCTCTTTTGCAGCTTCTCGTACATAACGTGTTGTAGTCATGAGGTGCTCGTTCAAATTAAAAAAATGCTTCTACAAAAAAAGTTTCATCTACAGATATGGCCTTGTTTAGGGATCTGTGCCTTTGTGCATACGGCCATCTGACTGCTGAGTAGTGATTGTGTTTCTCAGCAATAGTGTGCACCCTCAATTTACAGAGAAAAGCCTTCTTGCATTATTATGCTGTTACATTATGATTATATATTCAGTGGCATAAAATGGTCTATATATAAATATCGCTTATCGCAATTATTTCTGGGGCAGTATATTGCACAACAAAAAGATGTTATTGTGACAGGCCTACATGTGGCAGTATTTGTCATTAGGTTCTAGCATTAATTCTATAACAAGTAAAACTGTCAGTTTATTAAATGTTAAAGTATTGAAGTCTTGGTGGGAAAGACAACATAATTCCCAAATTAACAACCCAAATTCGGTGTGATAATTTAAATATTTTAAACGTTTATTAATAAAACCCTCATGCAACCTTTAAATTATCAATGTTCAGTTCATCACTGAGCAATGCCTACTTTTATTTCTGTCTTGATGGGTTTAATTTCATTGTATAAAAAAAGATTGAATAAGTAAAGCCAAACTTGTTTTGAATGGTCGTGTATTATTAGAATTGAACTTTTAGTGAATATCAAGAACTTTTAGTGAATAGAGCTGCACGATTCTGGATAAATTAAGAATCACAATTTTTTTTTGTCTCAAATAGAGATCACGATTCTGAACTAAACAAAACAATGTGACAAAATATTATTGCTGCAGTCTATTTAAAAGTGTTTAATTAATTTGAATGAACTATTAAACATTTTTAATATGTATTTAAAATATAATAAATTGAATACACCAATTTTTAATATTAAAATGATGAAAAAGTGTTTTTTTAACTTCACTTCAAGAATACTTCACTTGTTTCATAAATTCAGTAAGTCAGCGTTTTTGAACAAATCTCTTGAAAGAATAATTAAATGACACATTAGGGGGAAGTCGTGGCCTAATGGTTAGAGTCGGACTCGTAACCCAAAGGTTGTGGGTTCGAGTCACGTACCGGCAGGGATTGTAGATGGGGGGAGTGAATGTACAGCGCTCTCTCCACCTTCAATACCACGACTGAGGTGCCCTTGAGCAAGTCACCGAACCCCCAACTGCTACCCGGAAGCCGCAGTAATATGGCTGCCCACTGCTCTGGGTGTGTGTTCACGGTGTGTGTGTGTGCACTTGGATGGGTTAAATGCTGAGCACAAATTCTGACCCATACACGTCACTTCACTTCAAGTAAAAAGTATTATTTCCCTTACTAGTGTACAAAATTATTACATTTTCAAACATATTTTTCATGTTAACTAATGTATAACAAATAAAACCTTACTGTACAGTGTTACCAGTATTTTTGACAAATCTCATCAATACTGTGTAGATAGTATTGAGTATTGATAGTATTGTGTAGATAGTGTAGAATAAAGGGGTCATATGATGTTGCTAAATTATTTTGTGTATTTGGTGTAGTGAAATGTGTTTATGCGGTTTAAGGTTCAAAAAACACATTCTTTTCCACATACTGTACATTATTGTTGCTCTTCTATGCCCCGCCTTTCTGAAACGTGTCGATTTTTACAAAGCTCATCGTTCTGA